TTTTAACTCTTATAAGAATATACATATTTTTTTCTGTTAATGTACAAATATTTTTCCGATGTGTTTTGGATATTCCTTCTCTAATAAAAAGAGATACCATTTTGTTTTCGGTTGTACAAGAAAGAAGATCAAGCATTTTTCTTTTTTAAATTTAATAAGCCACATTAAAGAAGGAACGTTGCAATGCTACACGCTACATTAACGACGTCTCCAGAGTAACTGAATGACGGTTCATATGGAAATCGCAGGTAAGCGTCTCATACAACAACGCCCCCTATAGTTCGTTGCGATCGCGAATTAAGGATAATAAACTTACACAAATTCACATCAGGCGATTGAAATAGAAACTGTTCATTTGTTGTTAATACCTTGCATACGACGTGCACATAGCTCGTGTTGGTAGTTGACAGCTTTGTTAGAGTATACTAGAAAGGTTTATTCAGTTTATTGCATTTACTCTGTTCAAAACGTTTTTTCTTGATGTAGGAGCTTTTTTCTTGTTCAACTGTTGAAACACAAACATAGGAACTGCACTTATAATACTTTTACGAACATAATTTTAATCTTACTTTTACCATTTCCTTGAATGGCAACTGATTCGGATTACTGATTGGCGAAAGTAGAAGACCCCGGCAATTAATTCGTTTTTATTTGTTTATAAAATATATATCGTATTAAAATTAATATATTTATTAACTATTGAAATTTTCTAGTTTTATGACTGGTCAATTCTTCGACTGAAATTGTATCATCAACTTATTATTTATAAAATATTTTGGACAAATTTTGAGTTGTGGTAAGTAGGCTTACATGCGAAAATAATTAAATCACGAAAGATGTAGTTTTTATTTAAATATTGAGATTGATTCTCATGTTAATTTCCGTCTTTGTTTCACTGATACTTAGATTTTCTCATTGTTCACATCTCAGACTATATCATCTTTTAAGATATGTTTATGTGTTCCATATTTCTTAGTTTTCATATTATACAATCGACTCCCGTCTTCCAAACGGAAACTGACGTTATAATTGGAAGTAGTTATATCGTCTGCGCACGTAAATATCCTACATATTTACTCGCAACGTAGAAGTATTCGAATAATTTTTATTCTTAACATACTTTTTTTAAATTTTTCCATACCTGTTAATATGATAAACAAAAAATATTTGCTGGATACAAGTACTTTTTCTAGCATAAATTCAGAGACATGTTAACAATTTACACTAACATCTCACTAAAATAAGAAGTGAGGTTTTCAAATAAGAAAAATATAATTATTTTATTGAACTTTTGAAAAGAAATTGAAGATAGGATATTTAACCTGTTAAATTCATGTAGGACAACATGCTGATTTCTGCAGGACATTATGTTATTGTCTTTATGCTATCAATATTATTAAAAAATGCTATATTTCACTAACATTTTAGAAATAGATCAACTGTTTACTAGGTAGATCTACTCTTCTCTCATTTCATGTTAACTGAGGATATTTATTAAGGGAGATATCCATATACTGATATGTGGCAGAATATTAGCCATGTCTTGGCAACTCCCAGGCAGCAACCCGTGAGTAACTAAGTATATCTTGTAGCCTGCCCAAGGCAAATTTTTACATGTTTTTTTTTTTTTTTAATTTCTCATTTAAAGACAATTTGATGCCCTGGTGGGCAGATCATGATATGGAAATATTCCCATTTAGTTCTGCTGCAATATAAGAAAATGGTAGTTTCAATAGTTACAGAAAAAGTTTTACCATTCAAATGTCTCATCAAATGCATGTTGAAGTGATTTTTTTAAAAATTAGAAGAAAAATTATGAACCGAAATATACTGGGGTAAAAAATTTCTCTTCGGATGTTATCATGGGTATTAAAATATAATTGTATCTATGGAATACCTGACTATTGTTTAGTACTTTGCATTATCGTGAAAGTTTTGAGTTTTATATGGCATGTTTTCATTTTCGGACAACTTATAATATTTGTCGAAGTAATATTCTCACACTAGTGATGCTTAATTTTAGTGACATATATACATTATGACAAGGAAAATTTTGTAAGCTCAAAATTATAAAACTTTGCTTTTTTATTGAAATATATTACTAAATTTTAAAATTATCTTAATATGACATGAGAAAAAATCTGTAGATAATGGAAATTAAGTCTGCCTTTTTCTTTGTTTTTTTTTTTTATTTTTCTCAATGACTTTATCATACGAGAGAAAAATAAGTGCAACCGTAAGTGTAACTGCAAGTGTAAGTGAAACTCTAAGCTCAATTCCTCCGTTCGGAGTTGCCGATAGGGTTGCTTAATTGCCTGAACGGTTGCATTTAATTGGGTTACCATATTTTGTTATTTTTCTTTACTTTTGGCTCATATTTAATTTTATCATATGATTCTATTATATCATGGTTTCTCAACGATGTTCGTAAAGGGAGGAGAAAGAAATCACAGACGCTGTAGAATATTGATTGATTTTGATTTAATTTTTTACATTTGTATTTGTGTTAAGTCTTTTTTTCAGCAGCAAATTAAAATTCTGAAAACTTTATTTCCCCATTAGTGAAGTAGCATAGTATAAAAAGGATTATGATTTCTACCTCATAATATGAGATGATATTAAGATATCATTGAATTTCATGCTGCGTCCCTAAAAAGATAAGGGGGTGAAAGGGGGATGGACTTAAATACTATCTAGAATTGACAATTTTTTTTTATCTTGATTTGAGTAACTAAGGTATAAAACATGGTGTGTAGTGTTTTTAAAAAGTGCTTAAAGGTGCTTATTTTCGATTTTCATTTTTTAAAGGTGCTTTTCTTAATAAGTGTTTTTAAAAAGTGCCTTATTTTCCCTTTTCGAAAATGAGATTTATGAAAGGGAATGTCGATTTTCGACGCATATAATGTAAAAAAGTGCTTTTCACATTTTTCTATTTCACGTTTTCAGAATTCATTCGTCCTGCAGTGAACTTATCGTTAAGACACGGTTCCCAGCAGATCAGCGAAGTCAAGCATCACTGGCTACGGTGCGGGTGGGTGACCACTTGGATCAGTCTGCATAGGGACCGAGGGTGTGCGGTATTATTTATATATATTTACTATCTAACATGCTAGCTAGGCAAGTGCGGTATCATTATCGATGTAAACACTAAATCGAATGAGAATAAAAACAAGCTGTCTGATTTAATAGTTTAACAATTCGAAAATTTATAAAAAGTTTCATGTGTAGAAAGGACAATTTTATGACTTATACCACTTTATGCAACTGACATTGCTATCTAATCAAGTAAGGCATTTCTTCAAATTTATTTTTTAAGCATAATTCAAAAACATAGTCCTTTGAAATAATTCTTTAGAAGAAATGATGGTTCAATGTATGAAATATAAAATTTTTGAATTAGCTTTCACTCATAAAATATTTATAACTTCAAAACTATTAGATCTGTAAAATCAATTCTATTTTTTTAATTGAGTCTAAAAAATACATAATAAATAATGTCAGACTTGTCTATACTACAATGTCTCAGAATTTTATTTTTATCAAATTAATTTACATTGCATTAAGGGATCATCAATATTATTCATTTACATATTGCATATCAGGAATATCACTTTTATGAAAATTATTTTTTCCAATTTCATAGTAAAATTGCTTTTTAAACATAAGAGGATTTTCAATGTCACACTTATATTTTATTATTGTAAAATTTAAAACATTCATTATTGGTATAAGATAATTTAATTAAAAATTATAGGATTTATTTTAGGACAAATTTATTGCAATATACAGTATATCAGGGTTGGCAGGTTTTTGACATGTGACAGTTTTTGACAGTTTAAACCATGGTTTAAACCGTCACGTCAAAAACCTCACTGTCGAAAATGTCAAAAACCTATATTCATATGTGAAATTTAATTAATACATAAAATTTATATATTTTTTAAAGGATAGTGTTTCTAAATATGTTCTAGAAAAAATAAATTTTAAATTTTGAAGAAACACTTATATTTTGAATAGTAACCAAAATCTTGTACTTTTGAAAACTCACATCTTTTGTAATATTATGTATT